GTGTGTGTGTGTGTGTGTGTGTGTGTGTGTGTGTGTGTGAGTTACTATTTTTGCTTTTGGTTTCTTTCTCAAATGAATTCCAAAATAAGAGGTGTGGTGGGTGTGGTTTATGGCTCAACTGCAAGGTGTAGTGGGTTCAGGGGCAAGTGTGAGGGGATCATCTGCAGGTCATGGCTCCCCTATTTGAGTCACATGGTGGGACCTGCAGAGGAAAGGAGCCCAGAGCGGAACATTGTGAGCTAGTGGGCAGTGTCAATGTGTAAATAAAGGACTGTGAAACTTTTAACACATCTCATTCAGCCAATTAACTCTAACATGTGTTAAAGAGAAAATATATCAACATACTCTGTTTGTAGTTCTTGTGCTTTAATTGCTTGTAGCGAGACAGTGCTTTTCTATACTACCTGAGCACTCACAGTACAACTTACTGTGTTTTTCTCTGCACAGATTCCTCTGGATTCCTTCCTTGGGTGTGCAGAGATGTTGCCCTGAGTTTGAGAGTGTTGTTTGGATTCCAGATGTGTGGATTCCCTTCCTATCTGGACCTCTGGATCACTATTTCTCTTTGCACCGTGTGTTTTTCCTGTTGAACTTTTAGTTAGGAGCCCTGTCTTTGAGTTTTGCTTTCCTCAGTGGCCTTGGCATATATATTTTAGACATATATATATATATTAGACAACAAGGCGAGACTCGTTTGAATGCCTGTGCAACCGTTATTTTTCCTCTAAAGAACGAAACCAGTCTGCATTGTTGTTTAATTTAGCAAGAAAACTTAAAAAGAAACTTCAAAAACCATCCCAATACCCTTGATTCACTCCGCCACACTAATTCACTAATGACTCTCTGGTCTTTACCATGTGCATGAGAAACATGCCTCACCCTCTCCCAAGGTGATTTGAAAAATAGGTCGCAAAAATGGTGTCTGGTTGACTTTTTTTTTTTTTTCAACTGGTTTATTTTTCAACTGGTGCCTTAGTGTATTTGAATGAAGAATTGAATGTAGAATTACAACTTCTATACTATTAGCACAGCTCTAAAATGAATCCAAACAGTTATTGTTTCATACAGCTTTCAGACACCTTTATGATCTCAGTGGGACCCTGTTGTTTGCCTCCTATACAGTGCCTCACATCAGCACTCAAAGTACACAATACATTTAGAGCTTGGTATGTACACCTCCCAACACTGTGCATCACTTAGCATGAGCAGATATGAGCATTAAGGTGAATCTTGGGTGACAGCAAGAGAAAAAGAGCATTTCAAGGCGAGGGTTAGAGAATTAGGCTGATCAAAAGTATCACTGAACAGGAATACTGGGCTTCTGTGGGAAGTTTTTGCACAGTCTACCAGGTTCTGATAACTACAACTTCATAAACAATTTTAAATGTGTAAGTCAAAGCTGAGGCTGCAGAGGCACTGGTGGGAGGCCACACTAAAAGGCTGAAACGGTTACATTGTGGTTGGCACATTCATTGAGCGGTGTAACCCAATGCCCCTTTTCTCTGCAGAGATACGGGAACAGGAACAGGAAGACCAGCTTGTGGTTTACGAATCGAAAATCAGCAATGGCAATGTTTTTGACTCCACTGGTGGCTGTGCTAGTTCTGCAAAACAGAATGCATGAGTGATTTAAGAAATAACTAAATGAGTGTAAAACTGGGTGGCATTGGTGGCAGATGTCTGTGGTAACTCTAAAACCAGCTGAGTGCGAGCATAAACACACCACACTGAGAGTCGGGTGAATGTTAATACAATAAATCATCAGCTCTGCCCTCATGTGTTCATCTGAAATTACTTCATGATAAATGATAGTGTTTGTTTCTGCTGATGGCTGATCAATTAATCATGCAGATTAACAGCCACACCCCTCGCCCACACACTCTGTGTGTGAGGCAAGAAATGAGTCACAGGATTTGGCATAGGCAGGGTTTCCTTTATGTTCTTTAGATTGAGCAGGAAAAAGCTTCACCAGCACAGACTGCTTGGTATGGTACCCAGGTAAGCAGCACAAACTTGTTTTGATTTGTTTTCAGCTGCTAGGCTGTCTTTGCTTATTATAATCATGAAATATGGATGTTTGTGTGTTCAGATGCATGAAAAATGGGGAAAAGGGTTTCCTTTTTCTCTCTCTTGAAACTGTTCTGTTCTTAGACGCATGTTTGTGGTGTTCCCAGCTGTCACTGTGCCACTTTCATTTCAGTAGACTGCTGTTTAACAAATATATGAAAGTGATCAGAAAAGGAATGAAATATAGTCAGAAATAATTACCTTGACGTTTTAATTATTCGATGAATATTTGATTATTATTAAAAGAAATGCTGGCATTTAAAAAAATGAAACCTAAATCATTTCTGTAGCAGCTACACTGTGTGTAATGAACATACTGCAGGAGCAGAACGATGACAGGGGTTGTGTACACACAGGTGCAGTGTTCGATACTGTCGACCATAATATCCTATTAGAGCGATTAGAACATGCTGTAGGTATTACAGGTACTGTGCTGCAGTGGTTTGTATCATATCTATCTAATAGACTCCAGTTTGTGCATGTAAATGGAGAGTCCTCTTCACACACTGAGGTTAATTATGGAGTTCCACAGGGTTCAGTGCTAGGACCAATTCTGTTTACATTATACATGCTTCCCTCCCTATGGAAAAGAAATAGTAAAAACATATATGATTTACTCATGAAAGTGGCCACTTTCTCATTACTTTCATATATTTTTTTAGTAAGTATCAAAACATACAAGTTTCATTATATAATTTTTCAAGGGATCTTATATGTGTTTTCACTCTTGTATGCTTTTCATACAAGTTTCATACAAGACAGATAAAAACTTTATAAGATTTATATATATCTTTTCCATATGGGCTTAGGCAGCATCATTAGAAGACATAGCATACATTTACACTGCTATGCAGATGACACCCAGCTCTGCGCCCTGAAAAGCTTAGAAATATGGTATCTAAGCAGATTCTTCCTCTGGATGGCATTACCTTGGCCTCCAGTAACACTGTGAGGAACCTTGGAGTCATTTTTGACCAGGACATGTCCTTCAACGCACATATTAAACAAATATGTAAGACTGCTTTCTTCCATTTGTGCAACATCTCTAAAGTTAGAAATATCCTGTCTCAGAGTGACGCTGAAAAACTAGTTCATGCATTTATTACTTCCAGGCTGGACGACTGTAATTCATTATTATCAGGAAGTCCTAAAAACTCCCTGAAAAGCCTTCAGCTGATCCAAAATGCTGCAGCAAGAGTCCTGACAGGGACTAGAAAGAGAGAGCAGATTTCTCCTGTTTTGGCTTCCTGTTAAATCCAGAATTCAAAATCCTGCTCCTCACATACAAGGTCTTAAATAATCAGGCCCCATCTTATCTTAATGACCTTGTAGTACCATATCACCCTATTAGAGCACTTCGCTCTCGCTCTGCAGGCCTACTTGTTGTTCCTAGAGTATTTAAAAGTAGAATGGGAGGCAGAGCCTTCAGTTTTCAGGCCCCTCTTCTGTGGAACCAGCTTCCAGTTTGGATTCAGGAGACAGACACTATCTCTACTTTCAAGATTAGGCTTCAAACTTTCCTTTTTGCTAAAGCATATAGTTAGGGCTGGACCAGGTGACCCTGAATCCTCCCTTAGTTATGCTGCAATAGACGTAGGCTGCTGCATTGAATCATATCTGTTATTAACCTCTGTCTCTCTTCCACAGCATGTCTTTATCCTGTCTTCCTTCTCTCACCCCAACCAATCACAGCAGATGGCCCCGCCCCTCCCTGAGCCTGGTTCTGCTGGAGGTTTCTTCCTGTTAAAAGGGAGTTTTTCCTTCCCACTGTCGCCAAAGTGCTTGCTCATAGGGGGTCATATGATTGTTGGGTTTTTCTCTGTATCTATGAAGCGCCTTGAGGCGACTTTTTTTTTATAATTGAAGTCTTTATTTGTTTTTAACATTTCACAACACGAAACAAACAAAACAACCAACAAACAACAACAGAAAAAAACAAAAAAAATAAAAAAAATAAAAAAAAAAAAAAAAAAAAGGACAGTTAACTCAAATCTTTAAGTCATTCCCTTACTGAGTGCCTACACAAACAAACAGTGCAGCAAGCGTACAACATGACTAAAGATAATTGCCCTGACCAAATAAGTTCCAACCATCTCAGCCAAAAACACGTCCCCACGATTTGTCAAAACCCTCCCTATCATCATTAATCCTAGCCAAGAGTTTTTCATACGACACCATTTTCAGCATAGTTTCTTTCCACCTATTATATTCTGGAGGAGACGGTTCCTTCCATACACTGAGAATAACTCGAGCCGCTGCGATCACCCCCACCTTTATAACCACAAAGTCATATTTTGAAACCCCAGGTAATACTGACTGATCCCCTAATAAGCACAGTCTTGGTGACAGGGGTATCATCAAACCAATCCACCTTCCTATTTTGTCCAATACTTTTTGCCAAAAGGGATAAACTTTCCCACATTCCCAAATAGCATGCATAAATGTCCCTGGATCTGAACTACATTTCCAGCATACATTACTGGGACTAATTCCCATTCTATAAAGTTTGGATGGAGTGAAGTACCATCTGTGTGTTAATTTATACTGAGTAAATTTACCCCTGGCCTCTCTTATATATTTATCAGAGAATGACAAAATTCTGCGCCAGTCTTCTTTAGAAATTGCACAACCCAGATCCCTCTGCCATATAACCCTCAAGTTTTCACATATCTCTTTTTTTGGATTGTTAAACAGTTTGTAGAAAGCCGCCGCCCTATGTGCTGTACTGGACAATTCTAAAAACTCCACCACCATATTCGAGCTTTGAGCAAATTTTCCTTTGGTAACACAATCCCTTATTTGTAAATATTTCCAAAAATTATTTTCTCTTATCAAACCGTATTTTCGGGTTATTTCAGCAAATGACATAAACACTCCCCCTGAGTAAAGATCACTTATCCTGCGTATGCCTTTGACAAGCGCCTTGAGGCGACTTTTGTTGTGATTTGGTGCTATATAAATAAAATTGAATTGAACAGGTGTCATGTACGAACAGCAATTTTCCATATTAGATCTAAAATAAAATAAAATGAAACTGTTGCTACATGCCTGCCACAGTTTCTGTCTTGGTTGATTACATCTTGCCCATGTGCAGTTCCTGCACTGATGAGAGTGTGTGAAAGTAATATTTCTGATCTACCCTTCCTTCCCTTTTAGTGTTCCATACCATTGATCGGTGGCCTTTTGACCTGGAATACACCCAGCAGCCATGACAACATCTGGTCCCAGGGCCTGCTTTATTCTCACCCTGCATGTCGTCATTTTTCTCTCACTGCTGTTCTACAACAGCTTCTTGACCCACCGCGAGCTGCAGAGTTACCCCAACGGTGCTCATGGAGACATCAGGATTCTGGTGTGGCACTGGCCTTTTGGCCGCTCCTACAGTCTGGACGGGAACAAATGCCTCAAGATGTATAACATCAGCCGTTGTTTACTCACTAATGACAGAGCTGACTTCTCTGCTGCCGACGTGGTTGTGTTCCACCACTATGAGCTGAGCAGAGGTCTTTCATCTGTGCCCCTACACCTGGATCGACCTGCGTCTCAGCACTGGGTGTGGATGTCCTTGGAACCTCCTGTCAATAATGTGAAACTCACACATTTCAACGGCCTCTTTAACTGGACGATGAGCTACAGGCGTGATGCAGACATATCCATTCCTTATGGGCAAACAATGCTGGGAGGTGATAATCTAAGTTTTCCAGCTGCTCCAAATCGCTCCTGCTTTGCCAGCTGGGTGGTCAGCAAATACAAGCCTCAACAGACTCGGGCTGCTTTTTATCAAAGACTAAAGAAGCATATCCCCATAGAGGTGTATGGCAGGTGGAACAAGAAACCCTTGCCAGACAAGAAGCTTTTGCCCACCATTTCAAACTGTCTGTTCTACCTTTCTTTTGAGAACTCTGAGAAAAAAGACTACATCAGTGAGAAACTCTGGAGGAACGCTTTTCAAGCAGGGGCTGTACCAGTGGTTCTCGGCCCCAACAAGGCCACCTACGAAGCCATGACCCCCCCACATTCCTTTATCCATGTAGCTGATTTCAATAGCCCAGCTGATCTGGCAACATATCTGAAGATTTTGTCTGCAGACAGGCAGGCCTATGAGAAATACTTGGAGTGGCACAACACCTACCGAATTAAAACCTACAGTGACTGGAGAGAAAGGCTGTGTCAGATCTGTGTCAGGTATCCCAGTTTACCAGCCAGGAAAGTCTACCACGACCTGGACAGCTGGGTGAACAGCTAGTGTCTGATTTATTCACCAAAGGTTTCAGACTGCGGATTCTGCTGAGTTTCCACATGCAAATGTAAAATGCAGAACACTTGAAGTACAGTGGAAGAGAATTTGCTGCACAGTCAGTTAATTTTGGTAAACGGTGAGAAACTGCAAGTTGAAGCAGGTGGGTAGGTTGCTAATAATCACGTTACACATGTGCGAACTACAGGTAAACATGTGCCACTGAACAAGAAGCACGGTTTTTGTTAGTACTGACTGCTAGTGTGCAGTATCGTCTCAAAGGACATGAGCGATGGCAGATACACACTACAGATACATTTCATTACATGGTACCAGACTGAAATAATAATTCAGGGCTCCATGCTGGGCCAGTGTTTTATTTAGGGCTATTCTTTGTGAGCAGTAGCAGATATTCTCCTGCCACTGCTGGACATTTCTCTGCTGTTTATCAGAATATTGGTGCCCCTTCCTTGGAAGGCGCATTAACATTTGCTTACTTTGTTCAATGCCACTTGTTCAAATGTTCTTGATGTTCCTTAGTGCACTAGACCTAAAACTGATCGCTGGTTACACGATGTCACTCGGGCCTCAGAAGGACGTGCAGGAAAGCGGAAAGAAAATGGAAAAAGGATCAACTCCAGATTTCCTTTCATATGTTAGGAGGAGCCCTGTTTCTTTATCAGGATGCTGTTCGAAAAGCAAAACTAAGTATTTATCAGATATCATCTCTAACTACAGCTACACGCCCTGTGTCTTATTCAACATCATTAATTCTGTTGTCAACTCTCCACTCACCACACATTCACCCATTTCCCCAAAAACAATCAGTTCTGTCTCTAAACTCCCCTTCCTGTCCAAAATCCTGGAAAAAGCTCCAGGCATTTCTGAAAATTAATGACATCTCAGAAACATTCAGCCTGGTTTTAAAGCGCTACATAGCACTGAGCTTGTGCTTTTAAACGTTTTTAATGATCTTTTATTAATTGCTGACTCTGGTAACTCTGCTATTTTAGTGCTTTTAGATCTAAGTGCGGCATTTGATACAGTGGATCATGGGATTCTCTTATCATGACTGGAGAGCTGTGTGGGTATTAAAGGAACTGCATGGTTCAGATCTTATTTAACTGATAGAAGTTTTTCTGTCAGGTTTGGTGGCTCTTCATCCACATGATGAAGGCTCTAAAAGTTTTGCTAGACGGCCTTGCCCATATGGAAAAGAAATAGTAAAAACTTACATGATGTACTCATGAAAGTGGCCACTTTCTCATTACTTTCATATATTGTTCCAGTAAGTATCCAAAACATACAAGTTTCATTATATAATTTTTCAAGGGATCTTATATCTGTTTTCACTCTTGTATGCTTTTCATACAAGTTTCACACAAGACAGATACAAACTTTATAAGGTTTATAAATATCTTTTCCATATGGGTGATGACATTAAATCATGGTTTGCATTAAATCTTTTGAATGATCAAAAAACTGAGATTGAACTATTTGGACCTTCTGAGCCTCACTCTTCTCTTAAGGTTGACCTTGGTGCTCTGGAAAGTCCAGAGGTCCCTTTGCAAAGAATCTTCGAGTGCTCTTTGATGACAGTTTTTCATTTGAGAAAAAATAAATTCTGAACATTTTGTCATTTGCTGACTTTGAGAAAGTGATCCATGCATTTACTTCATCCAGGCTTGATGCCTGTAATATTTTGGTATCAGCCAGGCTCTGCGCTCGTCTTCAGCTGCTTCAGAACGCTGCAGCCCGACTCTTGACAGGCGCTCGTAAACACAACCACATTTCCCCGGTCTTGCCTCGTTGACACTGGCTTCCAGTACGTTGTAGAATTGATTTTAACATTTTATTGCTTGTTTTTAAATCTCTAAATGGAAGCTCCATCATACCTCTCTGATCTGGTAACTAAAAATACTCCAAACAGAACTCTCAGGCAGCTGATAAGTTGCTTCTAGCTGTCCCTGGCAGCAGGCTAAAACACAGAGGAGATCGGGCCGATCGCTGCGCCCAAACTTTGGATCATCTTCATATGAGGATCTCTCCCACACTTTCTGAAAACACATTTTTACTGAGTGTTGTTTTGTTCTTTGTGTGTTTGATCTACTTTTCGCTTTTTTACTATGTACAGCACTTTGGCCAACCTGTGTTGTTTTCAAATGTCTTATAAATAAATTGATTGATTGATTGTGTGGTTTAAAAGAATTCACCTTAATGGTATTATTGGATGTCTGCTATGTAATAATAAAATGAGAGTGCCATCAGTTAAATATGCATTTTTCGTCTTTTTGGCATTTGATGACAATTTTAATGGCAAATGGAGCAGGAGCGTGTCGCTGTTTGTACAAAAGATGCACGGGCAGAACAACCGGACATTTTTAACATATGTTGTTATTAACGTGATAATTTCCAGTTTGAAAGACTGAAAATGATGTGTCTGTCTGATAGACGAGTCTGTCTTAACACAGAGTTTTCAAGGTGTGTGAAGGCCACCATCCAATCAGCCAGAGTATATGTGTACATATGTGGAAATATCAGAATGAAACAGAACATAGACACAAATAGGCTGTGTCTATTTTTTGTGTTTTTAGCTGACTTGCTCTCTGTACTTCAACATTTAGCTGCATCTGTTTTTTAAACTCTCATTTCACCACCGTTCCACTGACACAGACACGATTTGCTGAGAGACGAAGGATGACACAGACTAATTTGGTGCTGGTTGGAGCTTCAGTTTAAAGTCTCATTGAATGTTTCTAAAGCATGCTATGATATGCAGGGTTTTCACACGTTTTGGTGCATTTGCTCTGTGAACGAGGTCCATTGTCTCGCTGCAGTGTGAACCGTTTTTCACAAGATGCAAAGCAGAATGTGAAGCATTTCTCTGAAGCATAAAGTGCCACTTCCTCCTGATGAGGGTGGAGTTGATTCAGTGTCAGTGTCCAAATCTCTACATCATCAAAAACTTGGTGCTCGGCTCTTTCTTTGTGAAATGCCGGTTTGTCACAAGTCAAGTCAGCCAGTGATTGTTAGTTATTGGATGAATAAAGAGAATAACAAACAATGAAAATGTGGTGTGTGTTATTTCAGCGATAGATGTGATGGGTGCGTCGATGACTGAGATAAAAGCTTGTGGTTTCACACTCAGATCCACCCCTCACTAATTCAAACTCTCTGTGTGGAGGTTGGGACAAAAACCTCAGAGTCGAGACTTCATTATACCACAACATCACTGTGGGCATGTTTCACCCCCTGTGGTTTCATCTTCTATGAGTGTCTGAGTTTCTGTTTTTAATGTGATGATCTTTTAAAATGACTACAACTAATACAAATGGCCCATCAACATCATGGGTGAGGTATATACAAATAAACAATACACTTCAAATAAAATTGCCAAGAGCAGCTGGTAAGAGTCTTATAGTATAATATATATGTCAGTGCCCCAGTGTTTTGAGTTTTACATTATTATTGGACTTTGATTTTGTCATCATTTACCATTTCTAGTCTTTTGTTACAATGTTACAGTTCTTAGTCTTCTGGTTCTGTCTCTGTGGTCCATGGTTGTGGTCGATCCTGTCAGCTGTATCCCCCTGTGAAGTCAGCGCCTCTGTGTTATGTTTCCTGTTTTACTTTGAAAGTCTATGTCTTATGTCAGTGCTTCTGGTTTTGCTTCCCTTGTGCTGTTCAGTTTGTTTCCATTTAGTTTGAATGCTTGTATTTATAAATTGGTTTATCTTCACATAAAACCACCCTCTACAATGGATATACTTATGAATTGGAGTATTATATGGAATTCCACATTGTAACATGGATAGACAGACAGATTTCAAAACAACCAGCTGGAATGTTAAAGGGTTGAATAACGGGATTAAGAGGAAGAAAATATTAACATATCTAAAGTTACCAAGAGTTGATATAGCCTTTTTTTAAGAAACGCACATGTGTAAGTCAGAAGCCTTAAAACTTAAATGTTCCTGGGCAGGTAAAGTCTTTTCCAGTCCTGGAGCTGGTAAAAGTAGGGCAGTGTCGGTTCTGATTCATAAAGCAGTTAGCTTTACTGAAACAAAAGTAATACCAGATAAGGAAGGTAGATTTATATTGGCTTATGGACAACTACTGGACACACCAATCATTTTATGTAATATCTATGCACCTAATGCGGACATACCCGCCTTTTTTCATAACCTGTCACAGTATCTTTTGGAATTAGAAGGTGCACAAATAGTGGTAGGAGGAGATTTTAATCAAATACTGGATCAAGACCTAGATAGATCACTTCCTAGGAGAGGCACAGAGAGTAAATCTGTAGTTGCCACAAGGCAGATGACCTCAGATTTAGGTCTGAATGATATTTGGCAGACAATGCATCCAGAAGGCAGGGAATACTCCTTTTACTCTCCACCTCATAATGTTTATACTAGAATCGACTACTTTCTTATTTCTGAAGCCTTAGTGAATAACTCTATAGATTCAAGTATTGGTAATATATTCTCGGACCATGCGCCAAGTTTTCTATGTCTTGGAAATATTTTACAGATTCCTCCAAGCTGCAGATGACGTTTAAATGTGTCCTTAATTAAAGACTCTGGGTTTATTAAATTGATAAGAGATCACATAATTCTACAAACAGACAAATAATCGAGAGGACACTACATTGGCTACTTGGTGGGATGCTATGAAGGCATACTGAAGGGGGAGGATAATTTCTTGCGCTCCCTTTAAAAAGAAGGCAGCTAACAAGAATGTCATTACGTTAGAAGCCAAATTAAAGGCAATTGAGGCAGTACATTTCCATACAAAAGACAGAGTTACGTTGAATAAAATTGTTAAAGTTAAATATAAGTTGAATGTACTGTACAACAGAAAGGCAGAATACGCTTTATTTTGCATTAATCAAGCATATTGGGAAATGGGAGAAAAGCCGAGTCGTTTATTAGCATACCGTCTTAAACAGAAAGACAGTATGAACTATATCGCAGGCATACGGCAACCAGATGGGGTTATTTCAACTTCTATTAGACATATAAATGATGGATTCAGGGCCTTTTACAATAATCTTTATTCTACTCAAGGGAGTTTAGATGAACAGAAATTTGAAGCATTCGTTACTGGTTTAAACCTGCCACAGCTTTCTACTACTGACCAGCAGATTATAGATGCTCCAATTACAGTGGAGGAGATTACCCGTGCAATTAACAGTATGCCACTTAATAAAGCTCCAGGATTAGACGGGTTACCATTGGATTTCTATGGAGCATTTGAAGATATGTTAAGTCCCCAGGTACCGGAACAGCTTCTTCCCCACAGCTGTCAGACTCCTGAACTCTGCCTCCTGACATCTGACCCACACTAAACTCATGGACTGGACATACACACACCCACAACCACCTACACACACACACAATGGACAACTGTACCCTCAAACACACAATAATAACATGGACTGAACCACCACTCACAACCACTAGCACTTTATATAGCCTCTGTAGAAACTATCCACATATCTCACTTATCTTAACTGCACTACTGTATAGCTCAGTGTAAATAATCATTCTGTACATACGATAATTTTTAATCCTACAACTGTTTATAACTTGCACAGTTCACATTTCTGTATAGCTGTATGTCTCCGATTTCTGTATAGTTTTTTTATTTCAAATTTATATCCTGTTCATAGCCTGTACATACTTATAGTTATAGAATATTCACAACATACTTCATACCGTGTACATTATAACATACCATAATAGACCCATTTCTGTAATATAAGATAAGATAAGATAGAACTTTATTAATCCCTCGGGTGGGTTCCTCTGGGAAATTCGATTTCCAAAAAAGCACAGCAACGACCGAAGTTACAGAGTTACAGAATATTATAATATACAACACACACACACACACCACACACACACACACACACACAACACACACACACACACACACACACACACACACACACACACACACACACACACATATATAAATACAGAGACAATATATAAATAAAATATACGAAGGGGATAAATAGAATAAATAGGAATAAAAATAAAAATACAAGTGAATTGCACATTTCAAGTATTGAGGTCTATTGCACGTTGACTATTTACAAAAGTATTGCACAGTGAGGTGAAGAGGCACTACAGCTTAGTTGTTCCCCCCTCCTTTGTCCTCCTGTTTCCCCTCCCTCTCCCCTCCAGAGAGGAGTTAAACAGTCTGATGGCGTGTGGGACAAAGGAGTTTTTAAGTCTGTTAGTTCTTGTCTTGGGGAGAAGCAACCTGTCACTGAACAGACTC